GTAATGTTACATGTTACTGGTAGGGGGGTGGGGGTAATGTTACATGTTACTGGGGGGTGGGGTAATGTTACATGTTACTGGGGGGTGGGGTAATGTTACATGTTACTGGCGGTAATGTTACATGTTACTGGTAGGGGGTGGGGGTATTACATGTTACTGGGGAGTGGGGTAATGTTACATATTACTGGGGGGTGGGGTAATGTAATGTTACTGGTAGGGGGGTGGGGTAATGTTACATGTTACTGGTAGGGGGTGGGGTAATGTTACATATTACTGGTAGGGGTGTTATATAAAAGTATTCCCTTCAAACAATTACCTCAGCATTTAGTTAGCAGGCTTATTTGCTGTATGCGTTTCCTGAGATGTGGTATAGAATGTGATAACTAGATTTTGTTTGATTTCCGTTGTAGCTGCATCTGATGCCACCTTGCTGTTTTCCTGGTGGCTGCGCATATCAAACAGGTTGATAGAGGTAGACATGTACGGCAAAAGAGTCAAGATGGCTACAATTGCTTCTACTGCAAAATTTAAAGGTAAGAAATTATATGGTTAGCTGCTACTGCAGTGTTTTCAGTAAATAAACCTCTACAATAACTGCTGAACTGTTTTATGGTAAGTAAAATATAAAACTGGTTGGTTGAAGTATGCACTAGTGATTCTTTCTACAAATCCAATATTTTTAAGTCTGCCACTGTTGAGTTTACAGCAGAATTTCATATTTCTATTGGTAAAAAAAAAATGATTTTGTTAATTTTAGATTTTGCATGGAGCAGTACAGATATCTACTGGACCGCAGACGACGGGAATGTTTATGCGTGTGACCGTGCCACTCTGGGCTCCTTTAGTAAGGTCGCTTTTGCAGGCAAATCCGTCTCTGCAATCACGTATGACTGGCTTGGCCGTAAACTCTACTGGTCTGTCTCAAACCTTGGGGTGGTAAGTCACGCTGGCCCACCCGTCAGTAGGTGAAAATTGGTGCCTCTACTATGAGCCAAAACATGTCAACATTTCTATGATTAGGAAGAAGATGAAAAAATCTTTGATGTATCAAAAGGAAATCTTACATCCTTTCATCAATAATGCCTGACTTATATCAATAATTTTTAAATGGACCAAATGCGTTTAAATTTAATCAACTGTCGGATCTAAACTATAATATCTTTTGATCTATCAAATGTTTGAGATTAAATTTTAGTGCAGTATTTCAGTGCTTGTGTTTTCCAGATCCGGCGTTCCTCTGTAGATGGTGGATCTGTGGAGTTTGTAACACAGGGGACAGCCCACCACATGGCTGTGGACTCCCTAGGGGGCAGACTCTACTGGACCACCACCAACACTCTCGAGTCTGCTGCCCTTAATGGAGATGACCACTTCCTCCACTTCTCTATTCCATTCTTCTCCGGTAAACATGTGATCAGCTTGACCTTGAACCTAGACATGGGCAAAGTGCTTTGGTACGTACGAGGTTACAGGAAGCAAGAGATGTACATGACTGACCTTGTCCATAACGGTGAGGAACACGACCCAACACAACCCTACAGCTTCATTGGCAGCTTCACAAATATCTCTGAGTAAGTCACCAGGTGGAGCTAGCTAACGTATACCTTTGTGAGTAGTCACACTGACAACTGTATGTGTGTAATCAGGTCCTGAAAACTTACCTTTACATGTATTAGTGAACTATAACTTATGTCTAACTACAAAATGTAATGTGTGTGCATGAATTAGAGATTAACGGTTAAACATAATGTGTATACTTTACGATACTTGTCTAACTTATAAAGATATATTTTAACTAGTGTATGTTAAGCTATATTTACCTCACTTATAAAGATATATTTTAACTAGTGTATGTTAAGCTATATTTACCTCACTTGTAATGATATATTTTAACTGATGGATGTTCCTCTCCCCAGGATGTCAGTACTGCACTACTACTCACACCGAATATTTTGGAAGAATTACAACAACAAGATGGTGGTTGGAGATATGGAATGTAACCACACTTCTGATGTTTCAAGTTACAGTGTGAATGGTTTTACTGTGTTACATCACTCCCTACAGCCATACCCAGGTATACATCACTCCCCACAGTCATGCCCAGGTATCCATCACTCCCTACAGCCATACCCAGGGATACATCACTCCAAACAGTCATACCCAGGGATACATCACTCCCTACAGTCATACCCAGGTATACATCACGCCCTACAGCCATACCCAGGTATACAAAGTTACAGTGTGAATGGTTTTACTGTGTTACATCACTCCCTACAGCCATGCCCAGGTATACATCACTCCCTACAGCCATACCCAGGTATACATCACTCCAAACAGTCATACCCAGGTATACATCACTCCCTACAGTCATACCCAGGTATACATCACTCCCCACAGCCATACCCAGGTATACATCACTCCCTACAGCCATACCCAGGTATACATCACTCCCTACAGCCATACCCAGGTATACATCACTCCCTACAGCCATACCCAGGTATACATCACTCCCTACAGCCATACCCAGGTATACATCACTCCCTACAGCCATACCCAGGTATACATCACTCCCTACAGCCATACCCAGGTATACATCACTCCCTACAGCCATACCCAGGTATACATCACTCCCTACAGCCATACCCAGGTATACATCACTCCCTACAGCCATACCCAGGTATACATCACTCCCTACAGCCATACCCAGGTATACATCACTCCCTACAGCCATACCCAGGTATACATCACTCCCTACAGCCATACCCAGGTATACATCACTCCCTACAGCCATACCCAGGTATACATCACTCCCTACAGCCATACCCAGGTATACATCACTCCCTACAGCCATACCCAGGTATACATCACTCCCTACAGCCATACCCAGGTATACATCACTCCCTACAGCCATACCCAGGTATACATCACTCCCTACAGCCATACCCAGGTATACATCACTCCCTACAGCCATACCCAGGTATACATCACTCCCTACAGCCATACCCAGGTATACATCACTCCCTACAGCCATACCCAGGTATACATCACTCCCTACAGCCATACCCAGGTATACATCACTCCCTACAGCCATACCCAGGTATACATCACTCCCTACAGCCATACCCAGGTATACATCACTCCCTACAGCCATACCCAGGTATACATCACTCCCTACAGCCATACCCAGGTATACATCACTCCCTACAGCCATACCCAGGTATACATCACTCCCTACAGCCATACCCAGGTATACATCACTCCCTACAGCCATACCCAGGTATACATCACTCCCTACAGCCATACCCAGGTATACATCACTCCCTACAGCCATACCCAGGTATACATCACTCCCTACAGCCATACCCAGGTATACATCACTCCCTACAGCCATACCCAGGTATACATCACTCCCTACAGCCATACCCAGGTATACATCACTCCCTACAGCCATACCCAGGTATACATCACTCCCTACAGCCATACCCAGGTATACATCACTCCCTACAGCCATACCCAGGTATACATCACTCCCTACAGCCATACCCAGGTATACATCACTCCCTACAGCCATACCCAGGTATACATCACTCCCTACAGCCATACCCAGGTATACATCACTCCCTACAGCCATACCCAGGTATACATCACTCCCTACAGCCATACCCAGGTATACATCACTCCCTACAGCCATACCCAGGTATACATCACTCCCTACAGCCATACCCAGGTATACATCACTCCCTACAGCCATACCCAGGTATACATCACTCCCTACAGCCATACCCAGGTATACATCACTCCCTACAGCCATACCCAGGTATACATCACTCCCTACAGCCATACCCAGGTATACATCACTCCCTACAGCCATACCCAGGTATACATCACTCCCTACAGCCATACCCAGGTATACATCTATCCCCACAGTCATACCCAGGTATACATCACTCCCTACAGCCATACCCAGGTATACATCACTCCCCACAGTCATACCCAGGTATACATCACTCCCTACAGCCATACCCAGGTATACATCACTCCCCACAGCCATACCCAGGTACACATCACTCCCTACAGCCATACCCAGGTTTACATCACTCCCTACAACCATACAGTCTTTTATGTCAAAATTGTCTTTTAAGACAATTGCAAAATGTTTTATAAATCAAAACAAATAGGGTTAATATGCATTTTTAGAGTTGAAATTTTATTGTTTTCCAGTTGGTGAGAATGAAACGACATTGATCATCGTACCAGAGGCTGTTCCTACGGAGAGCATACAGTGTCAAGGTCACTGGGCAGAGTTCAATCTCACATGGAGTCCAGCATCCGTCACATATGGCAACGTCTTTTACGAAGTGTCTATTGAAGTACCAGAAAGCTCGAACAAGAAAATGCTGGTAAAACCAATATAAATACAGTTTGATTGAATTGTCGTGATATCTGTTCTGTATTTCTGCAGGTTTCTTCACTATGATAATACATGACCAATACAGACCAAATACATATCCTCGGACATATATTATTAGCTCACCTGCCCGAAGGGCAAGTGAGCTTATGTTATGGTGCGGGGTCCGGCGTCCGTCCGTCCGTCCGGCGTCAGTCGTCCGGCGTCCGGCCGGCTTCAACTTTTTGCTTTAAACAACTTCTTCTCAATAACCAAATGGCCCAGGGTACTGATATTTGGCCTGTAGCATACTGGGATGAAGGGCTACCAAGTTTGTTCAAATGAATGACCTTGACCCACTTTCTAGGTCACTGGGGCCAGATGTCTTTAAAATCTTCAAACAACTTCTTCTCAATAAGCAAACGGCCCAGGGTACTGATATTGGGCCTGTAGTATGCTGGGATGAAGGGCTACCAAGTTTGTTCAATGAATGACCTGGACCCACTTTCAAGGTCATTGCGGTCAGATGTCTTAAATCTTCAAACAATTTCTTCTCAATAAGCAAAAGGCCCAGTATACTGATATTGGGCCTGTAGTATGCTGGGATGAAGGGCTACGAAGTTTGTTCAAATAAATGACCTTGACCAACTTTCAAGGTCACAGGGGTTGAAATATGTTAAAATCTTCAAACAACTTCTTCTCAATAATCAAAAGGCCCATGGTACTGATATTAGGCCTGTAGCATGCTGGGATGAAGGGCTACCAAGTTTGTTCAAATGAATGACCTTGACCAACTTTCAAGGTCACTGGGGTCAGATGTCTTAAATCTTCAAACAGCTTCTTCTCAATTACCAAAAGGCCCAGTATACTGAAATTGGGCCTGTAGCATGCCGGGATGAAGGGCTACCAAGTTTGTTCAAATAAATGACCTTGACCAACTTTCAAGGTCACAGGGGTTGAAATATATGTTAAAATCTTCAAACAACTTCTTCTCAATTACCAAAAGGCCCAGTATACTGAAATTGGGCCAGTAGCATGCTGGGATCAAGGGCTACCAAGTTGGTTCAAATGAATGACCTTGACCATCTGTCGAGGTCACAGGGGTCAGATGTCTTTAAAATCTTCAAACAACTTCTTCTCAATAACCAAAAGGCCCAGGGTACTGATATTGGGCCTGTAGCATGCTGGGATGAAGGGCTACCAAGTTTGTTCAAATGAATGACCTTGACTCACTTTCAAGGTCACAGGGGTCTAATGTCGTAAAATCTTCAAATGACTTCTTCTCAATAACCAAAATGCCCAGGGTACTGATATTGGGCCTGTAGCATGCTGGGATGAAGGACTATCAAGTTTATTCAAATGAATGACCTTGATCCACTTTCAACCTAATGTCCTTGTTCAACAATCAAGGTCAGAGGCGTCATATGTTTAAATCTTTTAATAGGTTCTTATGAAATCTTAAGATTACAAGTGTTAGATTAATAACAGGTGAGTGATGCAGGCCCATTGGGCCTCTTGTTACATTAGTCTATGGGGGAATGAAACTTGTTCTACCATAGAACAGGTGTATACTATAACCTTATATAACAGCCTGTGTAATTACATACCATTAATACTATATCAACCCCTAGTACACAGTGGAATTTTCCTGTGATATAGAGCTGGTGTATTTTAGTTTCAGAAAATGGAAGACACTTGGTACAAGATGTCCAATCTGCCCCCTTATAGTGAGATCATCATTTCTCTACGAGCGTACACCTATTGGGGCAATGGACCCATCACCACAGTAACTGTACACTCCCCCATGTCAGGTAAGTCTTATATTTACGTATGTAAAATATATATCGTAAAATACATGAGTAAATGACTGATGAAGGAAGCTCTTTGATTTCTTGTAACATTAGTTTTATGAGTAAAGCTGTGTATTCTTCAGTTATTTCCTGGGTTCTTAATTTTAACAATTTGTGATTAGACAGTTTTGTTTTAAACAGTAGAACTGTATTACATCTTTAAAAATTATATATAATCAAAACATTATTAACTACCTGTCTTAAAGTTGTTTTAGGAAGTGTTTTTAGACAGGTCACTGTTATCTGACTTGGGTGGTCTGTATAGACATGTTATTAGTGTCTCCCTCGGGTGGTCTGTATAGAAAGGTTATTAGTGTCTACCTTAGGTGGTCTGTATAGAAAGGTTATTAGTGTCTACCTTGGGTGATCTGTATAGACATGTTATTAGTGTCTACCTTGGGTAATCTGTATAGACATGTTATTAGTGTCTCCCTCGGGTGGTCTGTATAGAAAAGTTATTAGTGTCTACCTTGGGTGGTCTGTATAGACATGTTATTAGTGTCTACCTTGGGTAATCTGTATAGACATGTTATTAGTGTCTACCTTGGGTGGTCTGTATAGACAGGTTATTAATGTCTACCTTGGGTAATCTGTATAGACAGCTTATTAGTGTCTACCTTGGGTAATCTGTATAGACATGTTATTAGTGTCTTCCTTGGGTGGTCTGTATAGAAAGGTTATTAATGTCTACCTTGGGTGGTCTGTATAGACAGGTTATTAGTGTCTCCCTTGGGTGGTCTGTATGGAAGGTTATTAGTGTCTGCCTTGGGTGGTCTGTATAGACAGGTTATTAGTGTCTCCCATGGGTGGTCTGTATAGAAAGGTTATTAATGTCTACCTTGGGTAATCTGTATAGAAAGGTTATTAGTGTCTTCCTTGGGTGGTCTGTATAGACAGGTTATTAATGTCTACCTTGGGTGGTCTGTATAGACATGTTATTAGTGTCTTCCTTGGGTGGTCTGTATAGACAGGTTATTAATGCTCCCTTGGGTGGTCTGTATATAAAGGCTGTTAGTGTCTACCTTGGGTGGTCTGTATAGAAAGGCTATTAGTGTCTACCTTGGGTGGTCTGTATAGACAGGTTATTAATGTCTACCTTGGGTGGTCTGTATAGAAAGGCTATAAGGGTCTACCTTGGGTGGTCTGTATAGAAAGGCTATTAGTGTCTACCTTGGGTGGTCTGTATAGACAGGTTATTAGTGTCTACCTTGGGTGGTCTGTATAGAAAGGCTATTAGTGTCTACCTTGGGTGGTCTGTATAGACAGGTTATTAATGTCTACCTTGGGTGGTCTGTATAGAAAGGCTATAAGTGTCTACCTTGGGTGGTCTGTATAGAAAGGCTATTAGTGTCTACCTTGGGTGGTCTGTATAGACAGGTTATTAATGTCTACCTTGGGTGGTCTGTATAGAAAGGCTATTAGTGTCTACCTTGGGTGGTCTGTATAGACAGGTTATTAATGTCTACCTTGGGTGGTCTGTATAGAAAGGCTATAAGGGTCTACCTTGGGTGGTCTGTATAGAAAGGCTATTAGTGTCTACCTTGGGTGGTCTGTATAGACAGGTTATTAATGTCTACCTTGGGTGGTCTGTATAGAAAGGCTATAAGGGTCTACCTTGGGTGGTCTGTATAGAAAGGCTATTAGTGTCTACCTTGGGTGGTCTGTATAGACAGGTTATTAATGTCTACCTTGGGTGGTCTGTATAGAAAGGCTATAAGGGTCTACCTTGGGTGGTCTGTATAGAAAGGCTATTAGTGTCTACCTTGGGTGGTCTGTATAGACAGGTTATTAGTGTCTACCTTGGGTGGTCTGTATAGAAAGGCTATCAGTGTCTACCTTGGGTGGTCTGTATAGACAGGTTATTAATGTCTACCTTGGGTGGTCTGTATAGACATGTTATTAGTGTCTTCCTTGGGTGATCTGTATAGACAGGTTATTAGTGTCTTCCTTGGGTGGTCTGTATAGACATGTTATTAGTGTCTACCTTGGGTGGTCTGTATAGAAAGGCTATTAGTGTCTAACTATGGTGGTCTGTATAGAAAGGCTATAAGTGTCTACCTTGGGTGGTCTGTATAGAAAGGCTATTAGTGTCTACCTTGGGTGGTCTGTATAGACAGGTTATTAATGTCTACCTTGGGTGGTATGAATAGACAGGTTATTAGTGTCTACCTTGGGTGGTCTGTATAGACAGGTTATTAGTGTCTCCCTTGGATGGTCTGTATAGACAGGTTATTAGTGTCTACCTTGGGTGATAATTAGTCAGACGCTGTCAATAATATGTAGTGTTTACTTTCTGACAGTACCCGGAAAACCTCTACAGCCACGTGTGTACGTAACTCCATACAAGGATGCACTAACTTCCCATCATGCATTGGCCGCAGACTTTCGCTGGATGAAGCCAAACATCACTAATGGTCCAATCAGCCATTACAACATCTCTCATTGGTCTTTGAGTGTTGGAAATGGTCAGGTGTTTGTAGTGACAGGTCCAGCCACCGCTCGGCACTTCATCCTCGACCATCTCCGTCCCAACGCCTCATACTCCTTCCAGGTAGTTTATAAAACCCACTTTATAGCTTAACAATAAAACAATTTCGAGTCCAGGAGTTAAGTCAATTTTCAATGGATAAGCTCTCTTTTTATAGGTGGTTAAGATAATGATGCTCAGTATTTAAGTGTAACCTATGTTTTATCACTATGAACACATACAACTTCACCTGTCGTCAGAACCAACTCAACCCTTTTATTGGTATATGAATTTTATGATATTCTGACAAAGTGAAAGACATTGTCTGATTTCTGATTGTGAATATCTTTTATTTATTCTGTAGTGATATTTCTACAGATTATGTGTTATGCTAAATCAGAGTTTTGTGTTATAATTAGGTAGATGTTTTATTGTGACCTAAGTTTGTATGATAAGATAGATAGGTGTGATGTGTGTACCTTTGTTCCAGGTGTGATATTTGTACCATTGTTCCAGGTGTGATATTTGTACTTTTGTTCCAGGTGTGATATTTGTACCTTTGTTCCAGGTGTGATATTTGCACCTTTGTTCCAGGTGTGATATTTGTACCTTTGTTTCAGGTGTGATATTTGTACCTTTGTTCGAGGTGAGATGTTTGTACCTTTGTTCAAGGTGTGATATTTGTACCTTAGTTCAAGGTGTGATATTTGTACCTTTGTTCCAGGTGTGATGTTTGTCCCTTTGTTCCAGGTGTGATATTTGTACCTTTGTTGAGGTGTGATGTTTGTACCTTTGTTCAAGGTGTGGTATTTGTACCTTTGTTCAAGGTGTGATATTTGTGCCTTTGTTCAAGGTGTGATATTTGTACCTTTGTTCAAGGGGTGATATTTGTACCTTTGTTCAAGGTGTGATATTTGTGCCTTTGTTCAAGGTGTGATATTTGTACCTTTGTTCGAGGTGTGATTTTTGTACCTTTGTTCAAGGTGTGATATTTGTGCCTTTGTTCAAGGTGTGATATTTGTACCTTTGTTCAAGGTGTGATATTTGTGCCTTTGTTCAAGGTGTGATATTTGTACCTTTGTTCCAGGTGTGATATTTGGACCTTTGTTCCAGGTGTGATATTTGTACCTTTGTTAGAGGTGTGATGTTTGTACCTTTGTTCAAGGTGCGATATTTGTACCTTTGTTCAAGGTGTGATATTTGTGCCTTTGTTCAAGGTGTGATATTTGTACCTTTGTTCCAGGTGTGATATTTGTACCTTTGTTCGAGGTGTGATGTTTGTACCTTTGTTCAAGGTGTGATATTTGTACCTTTGTTCAAGGTGTGATATTTGTACCTTTGTTCCAGGTGTGATATTTGCACCTTTGTTCCAGGTGTGATATTTGTACCTTTATTCCAGGTGTGATATTTGTACCTTTGTTCCAGGTGTGATGGTTGTACCTTTGTTCCAGGTGTGATATTTGTACCATTGTTCCAGGTGTGATATTTGTACCTTTGTTGAGGTGTGATGTTTGTACCTTTGTTCAAGGTGCGATATTTGTACCTTTGTTCAAGGTGTGATATTTGTACCTTTGTTCCAGGTGTGATGTTTGTACCTTTGTTCCAGGTGTGTGCCTGTACAGCTGTTGGTTGTGGTGAGAAGTCGGATATCGTTGTTGCCCAACAAGATGGTAGGTAGCCCATTTTAGTGCACATACAAGTTTTCATGTGATTTGTGTTCGTCACAATTATATTTAATTGTTTAGAAGTTAAAAGACTCCTCAAGCATAATCAATACAAAATGTTTTACTACAGATAAAACATGTAGTGGTGTTACCTTCTGTATTTTGTTTCCTACTTTCTCTCCAGTTGTGCGACCTGTTCCTAAACTGTTGGTGGCCACTGCTACTTCAATCAAGATGGCTGAGATAGACAGTTCAGTTAACCTCACTGTTGCCATAGAAACAAGTGTTCCATCTCTGGCTGTCACCTACCAAGCCCAGAATAACAGGAAGTTCTGGATTTCAGAGGACGGAATGTTGATGGAATCTGTTAACAACGACATACACCCTGTGAGTACCTTTAATTTATAAATAGCAAAAATAACTTATATGTCAAAATACAAACTTAAACAATCTCAGTGAGCCTTACATGACAAAAAGCAATGGATTGTCTTCATAAAGTGTGTATCCTTGTCCTGTTTTGTTTCGGATTAAGTATGTGTTGGAGAACTTATTCTTTTACAGTAAATCAGTTTTACCCAAAACAAACCCTTTTCTTGTAACAAAGGAAAATAGACTGTGTTGTTGACTGTAATATGTTGTGTTTGTAAGTTGATGAAGCTGAACCGTTCGGGGGTGGACCTGTCGCTAGACTGGATCAGCCAGACTCTGTACACTGCCGAGGTTGACCACACCCGAGGTATCAGCTCCCTAGGAGCCTACAAGCTGGACCAGGGCCAGTATGTCAGCCTCCAGGACCGACCCCAGGCCATTGGAGCCGTTGTAGCTGACCCCTACACAAGGTCAGTGTGGAATGCCAAAGTTAAAAGTTGACTGAATGTTAGATTTGGAATAAATCTAGGCTTTCATTGACTGTTCAGAACTTTTAATATTTTGTATTTTGAATGTTTCATTAATGCATAAATTTGAAAAACAAAATTCTATCAATATATGACAGTGAAAAATACCACTTTGTCAAAAGATACATAAGATACATAAGATAGCCTTTATTAAAAACGTTTTTTGCTCAATTTCTTTATGATAAACATGAATTTCAGCAATGTGATCTGGACCGAGGAGGGATTGAACAGAAATCAGTACACAGTATACAAAATGAACTCTAACCATGACATTGTGGCTGTGTTTTCTACAATGCGTCGACGGTTGCGACGAGAGGTTACCTCCCTTCCCTGCACATGCCCTATGACAGTCACAACGAGTAGGTCACTGGCTGTAGACCACTCCAGTAACAACAAGATGGAGATGATTCTGTACCACCTGAGTGACAAGGCCCTCATTGCAGCGGACATAGACGGTTGTCACTGTAGGACAATACTTCCTGGCACCAGTGTTTCAGGTCAGCCAAATGTTTGTTGTCACACATCTGTCACGTGTAATTAGTGGTCCAGATTTTGTGTCAAATACCTATCCACAGTATTATTTGGTTTGGTTGAACATGATATTTTTGCGTAAATCACAAGAATGCCTAGCACAACAGTGTGTTTGTGTGAAATCTGTGTAATACCTAGTATATGTGTCCGCAGACTCTGCTCCGGACCTGCTGTCTGTTGATCACCTCTACATCTACTGGTACAACAAGGCCGCTGGTCAGCTATATACTATAGACAAGGCCACCAATGTGGTGACCCCTCATGCCATGCCTGGAGTGAATGACCTCCTTGCCTATGGTTCACAACTCCAGCCTCTACCGGGTAAGTAAATTATACCTGTATATAGAGACGTGCTGAAGGTGTCCTCACTGGACAGTAAATAATACCTGTATATAGAGATGTGCTGAAGGTGTCCTCACTGGACAGTAAATTATACTTGTGTATAGAGATGTGCTGAAGGTGTCCTCACTGGACAGTAAATTATACCTGTATATAGAGATGTGCTGAAGGTATCCTCACTAGACAGTAAATTATACCTGTATATAGAGATGTGCTGAAGGTGTCCTCACTGGACAGTAAATTATACCTGTATATAGATACCATCCTGCTAACATGGTGAAGGTGTCCTAACCGTATTAAGTAGATGTCACCTGCTTAATATTTGAGACTATTTTTATTTTCCTGTTATCACATATGACACAGTTATCACCCAGAGAGTACATTGTATTGTGACAGGTCTGGACTGTCTTGATCCTGGACCATACAATGGCAGTATTGTGATGGTACGTCACACAAATTCTTCCCTATCAATCCTCCTGGAGGAGGTGGGCTGGCCAGCCGAGTGTGACACAATCTCTCACCCGAACACCAGGTACACAGTCTTCTTCAGACAGGGCTCCCATGGAGACAGGTGTGGGGTCGATGGCCACGACTGCGGATCACAGGTAACAGAAGCAGGAGAATCAAACTGTATACTGTAAATGAAATCATATTTCATATAACAAACTCATTTGTAAAAAGAAATATTATTTATGAGACTTATGAATTTATGATTGATTCCCCTTTTGATTAAAGCAGAGCCTATCTCAGAAACATAAATTTAAAATGTAGACATAGATGTTCTCACTGAACAGTATAACAGTATATCTCAGAGACATTGTTAGACTGACAACACACGGCCTCACGCGTAGTGTTAACGTTCTCACTGAACAGTATAACAGTATATCTCAGAAACATTGTTAGACTGTCAACACATGGCCTCACCCGTAGTGTTCTCACTGAACAGTATAACAGTTTATCTCAGAGACATTGTTAGACTGTCAACACACCGCCTCACACTTAGTGTTCTCACTGAACAGTATAACAGTATATCTCATAGACATTGTTAGACTGTCAACACACGGCCTCACCCATAGTGTTCTCACTGAACAATATAACAGTTTATCTCAGAGACATTGTTAGACTGTCATCACACGGCCTCACCCATAGTGTTCTCACTGAACAGTATAACAGTATATCTCAGAAACATTGTTAGACTGTCAACACATGGCCTCACCCGTAGTGTTCTCACTGAACAGTATAACAGTATATCTCAGAAACATTGTTAGACTGTCAACACATGGCCTCACCCGTAGTGTTCTCACTGAACAGTATAACAGTTTATCTCCGAGACATTGTTAGACTGTCAACACACGGCCTCACGCGTAGTGTTAACGCTCTCACTTAACAATATAACAGTATATCTCAGAGACATTGTTAGACTGACAACACACGGCCTCACGCGTAGTGTTAACGTTCTCACTTAACACTATAACAGTATATCTCAGAGACATTGTTAGACTGACAACACACGGCCTCACGCGTAGTGTTAACGTTCTCACTTAACACTATAACAGTATATCTCAGAGACATTGTTAGACTTTCAACACACGGCCTCACCCATAGTGTTCTCACTGAACAGTATAACAGTATATCTCAGAGACATTGTTAGACTGTCAACACACCGCCTCACACTTAGTGTTCTCACTGAACAGTATAACAGTATATCTCAGAGACATTTTTAGACTGTCAACACACGGCCTCACCCATAGTGTTCGCACTGAACAGTATAACAGTTTATCTCAGAGACATTGTTAGACTGTCAACACAAGGCCTCACCCGTAGTGTTCTCACTGAACAGTATAACAGAATATCTCAGAGACAATGTTAGACTGTCAACACACGGCCTCACCCGTAGTGTTCTCAGTGAACAGTATAACAGTATATCTCAGAGACATTGTCAGACTGTCAACACACGGCCTCACCCGTAGTGTTCTCACTGAATAGTATAACAGTTTATCTCAGAGACATTGTTAGACTGTCAACACACGGCCTCACCCGTAGTGTTCTCTATTTAGTAGGTATGCAGAATAATAACCCAACATAGAATTATTTTAATATACAATATAATTATTACCTCCATGGAAATAGGAGTAAAAATCAATTTCATATTAAGACAAATAAAAGCACATATAAAAAGTGAAATTATTCAATAAGGACCTTCAGAAGGAAGACACAAATTGATAACGCTTTTCCCCTCAGACATCCTACGATCGCCCGATTACAATACCAGGCCTGGAGCCATACATGGAGTATGTGGTACATGGAGCAGTTAGCAACTACTACACTGAAAACCTGGATAAGGTCCTTAGTGAGCCACAGGTCTACCGCACCAAGGTGGGAGGTAAGTAGTGAGCCACAGGTCTACCGCACCAAGGTAGGAGGTAAGTAGTGAGCCACAGGTCTACCGCACCAAGGTGAGAGGTAAGTAGTTAGCCACAGGTCTACCGCACCAAGGTGAGAGGTAAGTAGTTAGCCACAGGTGTACCGCACCAAGGTGGGAGGTAGGTAGTTAGCCACAGGTCTACCGCACCAAGGTGGGTAGTGAGCCACAGGTCTACCGCACCAAGGTGGGAGGTAAGTAGTGAGCCACAGGTCTACCGCACCAAGGTAGGAGGTAAGTAGTGAGCCACAGGTCTACCGCACCAAGGTGAGAGGTAAGTAGTTAGCCACAGGTCTACCGCACCAAGGTGAGAGGTAAGTAGTTAGCCACAGGTGTACCGCACCAAGGTGGGAGGTAGGTAGTTAGCCACAGGTCTACCGCACCAAGGTGGGTAGTGAGCCACAGGTCTACCGCACCAAGGTGGGAGGTAGGTAGTGAGCCACAGGTCTACCGCACCAAGGTGGGAGGTAAGTAGTGAGCCACAGGTCTACCGCACCAAGGTGGGAGGTAAGTAGTGAGCCACAGGTCTACCGCACCAAGGTGGGAGGTAAGTAGTTAGCCACAGGTCTACCGCACCAAGGTGGGAGGTAAGTAGTGAGCCACAGGTCTACCGCACCAAGGTGGGAGGTAGGTAGTTAGCCACAGGTCTACCGCACCAAGGTGGGAGGTAAGTAGTGAGCCACAGGTCGACCGCACCAAGGTGAGAGGTAAGTCAGCATCTCATTAGGCCTTAGCTTTCTAGGTCAAATGATTAACATAGATCAAGGAACAAATTATTCCAAATGATATCGGTTAAAGTATTAAAAAGTGCTTATATTTCCTTTGAATTTGGCATCAAAAGTAGCAGCTTTTAAACAGTTACTTAAGTTAAGGATTTACTTAATGTCCAACACACTTGGTTTATTTCAGTGCCATCACCTGCTACATCAGTCATCCTTAAAGTTTTGACCTTTGACCAGATGAGTGTGCGATGGTCACCACCACTTCACAGCAATGGCCCCCTACAGGAGATCACATACAAGGTCAAATGGACAGTGGTGACCAAGGGACAGACCCAGGAGATGGAGATGACCCCTGCAATAGAACTTCCAACAAGTATAACAAGAGTCCCTATCCACAATGTCACCCTCACCAACCTGCTTCCTAACCACGAGTACAAGGTCAAGGTGAGTAAGGTCAAATGTATTATAAGTCAGTGAGAGCAGAAAAGGTCAAACACAGTGACAAGGTCAAGGTGTGAAGACAAGGTCAAACACAGTGACAATTTCTAGATGTGAAGACAAGGTCAAACACAGTGACAATTTCTAGGTGTGAAGACAAGGTCAAACACAGTGACAAGGTCAAGGTGTTGAGACAAGGTCAAACACAGTGACCAAGTCAAGGTGTTGAGACAAGGTCAAACACAGTGACAAGGTCAAGGTATTAAGACAAGATCAAACACAGATCAAGGTAAGTATACAAGGTAAAGCACACAGGAAAAAGATCAAGGTTAGTAATCAAGATCAAACACACAATAACAAGCTTAAGTAGAGGTATCAAGATAGAGCTGTATTTAAACCCAATAATGTTCTCAATGCGTTTTCATGTGATATTGCTTTTTTTCTCAGTTTTACAATGTAACCTTTTCTTTTCTATGCAGATCCTGGCCTCTAACAAGGAGCGATTGGTGTTTAGTGAGACAGCTGAAGTAAAGGCCAAGACTTTCGAGAGACTCAATGACATTGAACTGGTGGAAAGGTCAGAAGATACGCTCAACGTATCATGGGACATTCCTGGGGACCAAAGTGTGTACACTGGCACCTTCCTCTACTACCGGGTAAGACTTAGTCCACTCTACCAGCTTTTAATTGACATTCTCTCTAGACAATACTTTTTCTGTTTGTTGTACAAAAAGGTGAGAAATTTCAGTGATATATTTGTTGATATTTCCTGACAGATAGAGGAGGGGGAGGGGTTAGCAGTGAAGATGGGCCAGACTGTGTTGCCTTTCAGGGCAAAGAACCGCACCCATTACAACTACACTATCAGCCACCTCCAGCCCTACACTCAGTATAGTGTCAGACTCAGGCTCGCCCTCAGGAGTCTAATGAGTATGGAATGGCCTAAGGATGACCGCTTTGTTTTCAGAACTAAAGGTAATTTCAGCAGTACCAATATTCTCAAAAATTACTTTCAAAAGTGTTTAGAATGGGCATTCTTGATGGTGTTAGTAATTTTATTGAGTACATAAGGCATACAGTCAGCATTATACAGAATGATATCAGTGTTGATATATGGACATTAAAGTTTGCTGCATTACAAACATATTTTTAAATTTGTCATTCTGGAATGTTATCGTAGAGATTGTTAACTGTCCATGGCTTTATGTTGATTTCAGCCTCTACGCCTCTAGAGCCCCTTCCTCTGTTAACTGTTCATGACTTAATGTTGATTTCAGCCTCTACGCCTCTAGAGCCCCTTCCTCCAGAGGTACAGAAGCTCAAGTCTCAAGTGTATGTAGTGGTATGGCAGGAACCGCAGGTTAACGGTGAGAGTATATCTCACTATATCCTACAGTACAGGCAGACAGACAGCGACACCTGGGACCAGGCCTATAATGGCTCGGAGCTTCGTTGGGTGGTAGACAAAGAGGTCACACCACCTGGACATGACTATGTCTTCAGGGTCAAGGCCACCAATGAAATTGGATGGGGACCTCCAAGTAATTCCAGTCTGACCTTCACCTACATAGGTATATCTCCTATTCACATATGCAGGCCAGTAGGTTCAGCTGTCATGTCCCCTATACCTCCTGTCTATGCATTCCGTGTAGTCTATAAACACTGGGACTGTTAACAAACAAACCTACCCCAATAGTCTGTTGTAAGCTAACTTTCACCAATTGTGTTGCTCTGTAGACAACTGGTGTTTTTATAGGTAAACTTTAGACAACTGGTGTTTTTATAGGTAAACATTAGACAACTGGTGTTTTTATAGGTAAACATTAGACAACTGGTGTTTTTATAGGTAAACATGGCTAAAACATGGTAAACATGGCTAAAACATGCAAAGTTGATAACATCACTTTACCTAGCTCAGTACTGAAACAATGTACTGTAGTATAAACATGGAAAATGAAGGTAAAATATTTTATAATTTCGCAAAACAACAGTACTATATATATATACAATATATTGGGGCGTATATATTAAGATGCAGCTATTCTTTTTCATTTGACTTACTACCTAGGTAGTACCACATATGACATGTATAAAACATTCGGTTGCAGAGGCCCTTGTGCAGATGGACAACTCAATCATCTTGGCTATCGGCTTGCCAGTTGGCCTCATTCTCATCGGTATTGTCATTCTGGTGGCCTACTGCTATGGTATGTATTTATTTAAGGTCTAATGTTTATTTGTTTATCAACTGTGCTTCCCTGAAAGTCACTTAAAACAGTACTCAAAATTACATACTTCCCTCAGAACTGTTATAGGTGTCATCGATCCTAGCCCATATTCAATCTTGTGATCGAGGTTTTATGTATTGTATGTTTTATGTTTTATGTATTGTACGTTTTAAGTTTTATGTTTTGTATGTTAACAGTGCGATGGAAGAGACAGGACCTCCAAAAGAAGCGTCCCCAATTTATTGCGGTGGCGCGTGGTCCTGATGTAGAACTAGCGACACTGCGGGAGCTACCACACACAGCTTACCAACAGAGTAACACTTTGTATGCCATCAGGTTTGTATGTTTGTACCATTCAGACAGATAGTGACATGTATAATCAAAACAGAAGAAGATTGTGGGTAATCGACAGCACTAGATATATACTATATCTGTACAGTAGTATCACCCAGCACTAGATATATACTATATCTGTACAGTAGTATCACCCAGCACTGGATATATACTATATCTGTACAGTAGTATCACCCAGCACT